TTTTTGGCACGCTTACAGACCCTTGGCTTGTTTAGCCTCAGAGAAAGCCTCCTTGAGAGAAGCAATGGCCGAATTAATGTGGTTGCGGTTGGGGTCAGTGACACTGACACCCATGTGGCCGAAACGGATGTACTTGGTGGCAATCTCCTTGTGCAGACCGGCCGCGAAGATAACTCCGCGCTTCAGCAGAAGGGGCAGCACATCGGTGGGCAAGAGGCCCTCGGGTAGGTAGATGGCAGTCATGCCGTGGGCCTGGTTCTCGGGCTTAGGAGCAAGCTGCGACAGACCTAGCTCGGCAACAGCGGCCTTGACGCTATCCGAGGCCTGGGTGTGGGCGGCAAAGCGCTCCGACAGCGGGCGCGAGGTGATCTGGGTTAGGGTGGTGTGCAGGGCATGGACGAGCTGGGTGGAGGGAGTAGCGAAGTACGACGGCTTGAAGTTCTCGTAGTTCTGCATGACGGGCATCCAGTTGGCCATGGAGGCGTAGTAAGAGGCCGGAGGGGTCTTGCGGTTGCGGAAGCGGTCGACGGCGCGCGGCGAGGTCATGACGATGCTGAGTCCAGGCGGGCAGCCGATGGCCTTCTGGCTGGCCGTCAGGACGACATCGATGTCCCAGGCATCGAAGGCGATCTCCTCGCAGCCGACGGAGCAGACACCGTCAACGACGACGAGGGTCTCGGGGCTGACGCGGCGGACAAGCTCGGTGACACCCTTGACGTCGCTGAGGACACCGGTGGAGGTGTCGACGTGGGTTATGGTGAGGAGCTTGTAGGTCTTCTCCTTGAGGGCCTGCTCGATCTGCTCGAGCGAGGGGCGGTCCCCGATGGGGGCCTTGAGCTGGGTGGCGTTGGCGCCGTAGGTTTCCAAGCAAGCAGCGAACGAGTCGGCGAAGTAACCGGTGTGCAGGACGAGCGCGTTCTCACCCCTCTCGATCAGGTTGGAGGCGACCATGTCCCAGCCGAGGGTACCACTGCCGGAAACGACGAAGGGCTGAGCGGCGGGGTTGGAGGACTGGAAAAGTTTGCGAACGAGGGTCAAGGTCTCTCCGAAAGTCTTGACGAAGCCGGGAGCTGTGTGGGACTCACTGTTGACTTTAGCATCTTTCTTCTATAGTCCTTTCCTTTGTCTCTCTGTCTTTTTTCTTCTTCCTTCATCTCTCAACCGAAGGGTACTCACGCATAGTGGCCCATGGAGTTGAGGACCGCATCGTCGAACTCGATGGGACCGGGAATGAGAAGAGTCGGGTGAGGAGCTTGAGTGGACATGTTGGCAGCTGGTGATGATGATGTTGTAGAGGAAGAAGAGGTGGTTGTAGAAGAAGATTGTTGTGGATTATAAGAGGCGAGCGGTGGGAGGAGGGGCTTCTGGAATCTCTCGGTCGAAAACGGAGTGTTCAGTTCGGCCTCCGGATCCGATAGGTGCCTCGAGATCAAACTCAGGCGTTGGCGACTGTCGGGCATTCTCGTGGCTTTCGGTTTCGATTCCGAGGTATAAATTCCTTATAGAATAATAGCCAGGGCAGAGGATATGGAAATTTCCTTTTTTGGATATGAATCGCCAGCGCAAGATTGACCCTGGTAAAGTGAATGAAGAAAAGAAGTGAAAAGATCTCAGATATATCAAGCCATTTACTCAATTCTATTTATATATACGAACTGACTCCCTTTATGCAGCCTGAAGCATCCATTGTCTCCTTTTATGTCGGAAATAGTACATGCTCAAATGCCGGTTCGCATATCGTCCGAGAACCACGCACATCCAAAGAAGGAAAAAAAAAAAAAAAAAAAAAAAAAGATTGACAATGGTCGATTCTCGTCCATGTTGAATGATAGCCTAATTAACTTTAACGGCATCACGCCAACTTCTCTTTAGCTAGTATTCTTCGTTTAGAAAACTCCATCAAGTCGGTATCTCCGGACGGCGTTTGTATGTTAGGTCCGTATTACGAATACATGCACATTTGGAGACCTCTCAGAACAACACCAATCACTGTACAATCATGACAATTTGCATACATTTCTTGTTTATAGTATCATCTGCTAGATCTAATGCATTAAAGACCCTTGCAGACCGACTGTTGTATCGTAAATACGTAGGGCTGCTGTATCACGTGGCTGCTAGCTCCCCCCGCAAAGCTTCAATGAACGGCCATCATCCAGTGACAGACTGCGGACTGCGCTTCTCCAGTTCTCCGTCCTGCAACCATCCTTTATCTATGTGGAATGCGCTTTAATCCCTTCATCCGCTGAATTATAATCAAGATGACCTCTCGTCTGGTCCTGGTCATCGGTGACCTTTTCATCCCTGACAGAGCTCCCGTGAGTGGTGGCTTCGTGTTCGCTCCGTGAGTGAAGAAGGTCGCTGACTTGTCCCTAGGATTTACCTGCCAAGGTGCGCGTCGCATTCCTTTTATGAGTAATTCCGCTATACCTAAGGCTATCCGATTGACACAACCCAGTTCAAAAAGCTCTTGACGCCTGGCAAAATCGGCCAGATCCTCTGTCTGGGTAACCTGACGGACCGCGATACCTTCGAGCTCCTCCGGGGAGTCGCCCCCGATCTACAATTAGTCAAAGGTGATTTCGATGTTGATTCGCCCAATCTGCCTCTCTCCAAGGTCGTCACACACGGTAGTCTCCGGATCGGTTTTACGCATGGCCACACCATCATTCCCCCGGGAGATGCAGACGCCCTACTCATCGCCGCACGTCAAATGGATGTCGATATCTTGCTATGGGGAGGTACACATCGCTTCGAGGCGTTTGAGATGGAGGGTCGCTTTTTCGTGAATCCCGGAAGTGCCACCGGAGCCATGAGCACGGGGTATTGGCCTGAGGGAGAGGATCCTACACCCAGTTTCTGCCTGATGGATGTAAGTTTCGCGAAATACCTAGGTGTCGCACGTTTACTAATCCTTGACAGATCCAAGGCGATGTGCTCGTGCTTTATGTCTACCAGCTCAAGACGGATGCCAACGGAGCCGAAACTGTTGCGGTCGAGAAGGTGTCTTTCCGTAAAAACGCCGTTCCCGTTTCATGACTTATGCTTTTGTTGTTCTCGCTCGATTGTATATATCCCAGACGTTTGCACATGTTTATTTGATTCCAGCGTTGAGTTCTCATCAGTAATATTAGACTTACGAATCCGCACTTGCGTGTTCATTTAGCATTGTTGTCAGACAGACAGTATTCAACTTATGGAATCCTACTTAGCAAAAGCTTGCATTCCTGACAAAATAGTAGTGAATAAACATATCATTTTTCGTCCAGTGCTCAATACTCTAGGCTGTGTTGATGACAAAATCCACTAAGCCCAAACAGGCAACTGTGACTTCTGGTGTCGATCCCAGTCGACATCACCGTTTTTCCTGCTTGTAACTCCTTCACCTCCTCCGGGTGACAATTGCTTCTTACTCTTCAGCTTTATTTTTCTAAATCTCAATCCAATTGGTGTCGCATTTTTTTCTCTACTTGGTCGGATATTGTATTCTTCCAGACCAGAAGATCTTATCCGCGCGGCACGCTAGGCCAGACCAGCAGAAAGTCATCATTGCTTCTCCACCATTTCTTGCTCGGGGCCTTTCCCGACTCTGTGGATCAAATTGACTGGAATTTTCTTCCTTTTTTTATTCGAGAAAACCGCTAAATCCCTCTTTTTACTCTTTTTGCCCTAATCAATATGGCGACAGAAGGGCAAGAGATCCAGGATGTGCCCGTGGAGGATACGAATCCCCAGCAGGAAGGTGGTGACGATGAAGTAAGTTTACAATTCAACCGCTTGCTACTACGCCCATTTCCTTTTTGATATGCCCGGAAAGACACGTGCTAACAATCTCTTTAATATAGGAAGAAATCGCGGCGATGAAGAAGCGGGTAGCAGAGATGGAATCCGAGGCGGCAAAACTGCGCGAGATGCAGTCCACCCTTGACCAACAAACGGAGAGCCTGGCAGAAAACAAGGAAGAGATCGATGCCCGGAGTGTTTTCGTCGGTAATGTCGATTACGCTGCTTCGCCCGAGGAGATCCAGGCACATTTCCAGAGCTGCGGCTCGATAAACCGCGTTACGATCCTGTTGGATAAATTCACCGGCCAGCCTAAGGGGTACGTTTTGGATAATTGCGGATAACGGTATCATGGGACGTTGGGCGTGTGTTGACTGTTTCGTGTTATAGGTACGCCTATGTGGAATTTGCGGAGCCTAGTCTCGTGGCCCAGGCACTTATCTTGAACGAGAGTGTTTTCCGTGGTAGAAATCTGAAGGTGAGCTCTACTAAACGTTTCCGAATTCGATTCCGATATTAATATTGGTCCCACCAGGTTGTTCCCAAGCGAACGAATCTTCCCGGTATGGCTCGGGGCCGTGGTCGGGGGGGCTTCCGGGGACGTGGCTATGGCCGGGGAGGCTTTGCACCTCGCGGATACCGTGGAGGTGGCTATCGGGGCCGCGGTCGAGGCTACGCACCGTACTAATCGGGTTTAACCCCGTGCATTAATTTTCACGCCAAGACTGCGTGCATAAGGATGGGGTAAACCAGAGATAAGAAGGCTCGTCAATGAACCTGCGGCTTTAGCAGGAGCAAGATTTGCTCTCCCCAGTACACAAGCGGCTACTTCGTTGGATTGTTTCTTTGGAGTTAAGGGAGGCTGGGGTGTTACTGTACGATAAAACCACTATCAAGCAGCAGACTGAACGACATGGATGGATTGATATCAGAGGTTCTGCTTTCTTTATTTTCTGTGATATCATATTCTTATATTGGCAATCATACTACTGGGACAGGCTCGTTTATCCAGATTACCCGTACTCCAAATTGCCTTGAGTGTCTACTTTAATAGACACATAAAATACCCATGGGAATACAAGTTTTACTCTCCTGGCCTTCCACCTACTTAGCTTGCCAAAGGCAGAAAATGAACAGAACGTTCAGTCCTCATTAAACCCCGAGAAACATGGCGTCCAGGCTAAATGCCATACAAATCCATGAAAACCATGTCAACAAAAGAATAAATTTATATGTATGTATGTATCCTAAATGACTTCACACCCTTCAACAACAAGGTGATCGAGCGCAGCACAAGAAAGACAGCAAGGCTGTGCTCATGCCGCCGACTTCGAACCATGTCCCGGGGTATATATTGGAAGACTGAACTAGGCGTTGGGTAGCTCAGCTTAGAAGTGTGCTATTAGTGAACCGGTGGGAATTGGCAGGCGTAAGCTGCACCATTACTATGTCTAGTTCTGGATATCATTTGGTGGTATCCCCGATTTTGTCACCGTGTGATGCAGGGTGGAACACGTCTTGTGTGTCCGAAAAAGCATGGTTGGCCACTGATATACTGAGTGCCTCCCTTTCGCAGAAGAACGCCAGATGTCGTGAGTCGAGTACCTGCAGTAAGTCCGGCTGAAACTTACATGCCTGGACTGAACATACCTTGTTCAGGCTCACGTATATAGTTCGTTTCATCTTGAGGATGCGGATCTGCGGGATACTGGCTTGGGTCTTCACACTCGTGCGTCTAATACCGCATGGAGTTCTAAAACTAGCCCAAAGCATGGTCATATGTAGTCAGTCGATTATTCACAATACTCGACAACGAACTACGTTGATATTCACGATCATCATCACTAACGAGCTCAACCACAACAGCGGCCGGCATGAAATTGACTCGTCGGACGCTAGCCATTTCCGAAAGGGCATGAATTACGCCGACCATCTGTGACTTTGTTGGGCTTTCTGTCTTGCCCAGGAGATTTCAGGACATGGGTCTGGGGCCCCAAGGTAGCAGTACAGATACAACCCGTGCACGCGTACCCGCTTTTTCTGCCCCCCCGGGCATAGAAGCGGGCTGAGATACAGGCGACAGTTGGTGGGATGGGGGTTGGTGAATTGGGTGTTTCGATGATTAGAAGTTTTCATAGAAGGATAAGCACCCTGCGTTGTATTTTTCAATAACGTATCCTGGATCTGCACGCGTGGGGTGCCGGAACTTTTGTTTATCGTCGTTGACTTGAGGAACATCAAAGCCCGTCAGGCCTGCCATCGCGAAAGTGAGCCTGGTTTTGGGCTTTGAGTAAGACTGGATAGACGTTCATGTAGGCTGGGTACTTTGCAGCTCTTAAACACTGGGCGAGTGTCTCGCAGCTTTCCCATTGGGAGTCACGGCCATGCTCACAGTGAATAATTTAACACAGGATGTGATTAGGAGAAGAAGAGAAGAAGGCGAGGTAATGAATCATAGGGCTGGGATCGACCAGGACCAATGCAGTAAGCGGTCTACGAAAAGGGAAATCATGAAGCCTAAGTCGATAGTCTGTATACTCCGTACAAGCGAATAATTACAACGAGCACA